TGATGTGGTGGTGGTGGTGATGCTGACCTAAGCTGCTATTTAGCTTCTCTTGACAATTTCTAATGATGCTGTAACTATTATTGTACTTCCAAAGGTTGTGGCAATGAAGCCCTCAGACAGCAACAACACAGGCCAATGGGAGTCAGACAAGAGCAAAATCATTTCTGGTAAGATTGTCTAACGATATAAATACATTGTCACGACACGTTGGAATCAGGCGCTAGTCCATTTTTGGGTCATCTTATGGAGTTATTGATATCATCATCTTAAAGTCTGTTCTTTTGCCTTGCTTTTGATGAAAAAAGAAAACATCTACTTGATGAATAGAAATCTAGATTTTTGCAAATGAGAGGGGAGGGAGCAGTGGTGCTCTGGTGCCAGAGTTAGGATTACTAGATTAGCCAGAAAATGGCAACCAAAGTTTGGTGGATTCCAAAGCTTGAGTGTCCTGTGAAACTGAAAATTTACGTTTTGTGTGCCTTTGATCAACTTTTTTAAAAAAGTAATCTCGATACCGAAATGTTTTTTAAATGTACATAAAAAGTGCACATCCCCCTCCTCTCCTCACCCCTAAATAATAACGAAAAAATGTTGATAAAATTTGCCGTAAAATGCTGGGTTCTTCAATTACAATATTATTTTGACGAGCGCCTGATTTCACCACGATGCCACACATAACACATCAGGCTGGAGTGGGAATGGTGGATTTGATAGACGACTTAAGTGATGCTATTGAGTGGTACGGTGTTTTGTCTTTTCTTTTTTTAAACGTCTGGTTATTTATTATCGTGATTATATTGATAAAACTCACCTAACCCATTGCGGACGATTTCGTGACAGCCATTTGCAGATGACGAAATAAAGACATTAATTCGGGCCACTAGGTTAACAATATCGATCCATCATTGACGTCACGAAGTTTTTCTGTATGGCGATAGTTTTCTTTTTTTATTGGTTTGTTTGTGTTTGTTTATTGTTGTTGTTGTTGCTGTTGTTGGTGTTGGTGTTGTTGTTGTTGTTGTTGTTGTTGTTGTTGCTGCTGTTGCTGTTGCTGTTGCTGTTGTTGTTGGTGGTGGTGGCAGTGGTGGTGGTGGTGGTGGTGTTGTTGTTGTTGTTGTTGCTGTTGCTGGTGTTGGTGTCGTTGTTGTTGCTGTTTTGTTGCTGTTTTGTTATTGTTGTAATTTGGTTTGGTTTAGTTTTTACCTAAAAAGAGTTTGGGAAGTGCAGGTGTTTTACGCTCCCATTGACACAATTTAGATCATTTAGGTGGTGAACTCCAAGAAACGCTATTCTGAGCGGTGGTAGTATTTCCTTCTTTGTACCATTTTAGGGAATGATTTTGTATTGATTAAGGATCATCTGTATTTATCAAAAGACTATGTTCCTTATGCCGTGACATCATCATCGTCATCATCATCATCATCATCACCATCATCATCATCATCAACACCATCATCATCATAATCAGCAGCAGCAGCAGCAGTATCATCATTAGCAGCAGCAGCAGCAGCACCAGCAGCAGCAGCAGCAGCAGCAGCAGCAGCAGCAGCAGCAGCAGCAGCAGTAGCAGCAGCAGCAGTATCATCATCATCATCATCATCATCATCATCATCATCATCATCATCATCATCATCATCATCATCTTCAACACGCATGCAATCGCTCTTATCAGTATCAAAGCTAGAAATGTCTTGATTAAATGTATTCATCTTTGAAAACATAAACAGGGGCTGGTTTACACGTTTCACTTCAATGTGACATTTTGTCCTGTCTTGTCCAATAAAATTATGTTCTTCATCATGATGACTGGCTGATGACTGATTGTAATCTAAAACTCAAAATTAATACATGTGTTTAAAGAGAGGCAAAATACAAACTCCTTGCCTTAACGTGGGGTCATGTGTTCGGCCTTCGAACTGGCTTAGTTTAGTTTTAGTAAAGAGTTTTACGGCACTTGCAACACAATAAGGTCATATAAGTGCCGAAGATTTGAGGTGTTACAAGAGAGGAACAAACACAAAATAGAAGGAGGAGAGATCAGGACGATAGACGTTTGATAGGAAAGAAGAACCAAACCACACCAGAGCACCCGCCAACCACCCACGAACTGGCTTACATATTGTGTCTCGAAAGGTAACAATAATATCAACAGCAACAGAAAAACAACAACATGAACAAGAAAGCTACAACAACATTTCAATAATAATGGTTGTCTGTATCATGTGTGTGTATGTGTGTGTATATGTGTGTGTATGTGTATGTGTGTGAGAGTGTGTGTATGAGTGTGTATGTGTGTGTGTGTGTGTGTCTTTTAGTGAAAGCTTGTTTACCAAGGTGGTAAACCACAATGCATTTACAACAGTACATTACAGTTGGCATCGCAGAAAACACCAACTGGCGAAAGCACGATGTCGATTTTTTTTCTGAAAGAAGACCTATTCATGTATATTCAAACTCGTATCTGACATACCAGGTGGTCAGAATGCCCCCGCCAACTCGGACTTCTCACGTCTGCCCACCCGGTCGCCCACAGAGAGCCTAGAGACAGGGGACTCGGGCAAGCAGAGACTGGGGTCTGCCAGCTCCAGGACCAGTTCTAGAACAGGCAGTCCCAACCGTGGAAAGGTGAGGGGAAAACCTGAAAAATATATCACTTTCATTGATAACTCTGTGAAACTTAAGGTGCAATAGTATTATTATGCAAAACAAGTATGGGCAAGCGTGTCCAAGTCGATGGCCAGTTTACGCGACTCTGAATATCTTGGGGTCAAACTAAATCATGAAAAAAATTGTATGAAATCGGTTGAATTGCCCAAGCTCTCAACAGTGAAACCTAAACTGACACTACAGCGTGTCACTAAAGGGCATTTCATAAGATAAAAATTAGAGCTATATATGGCTTTCAGCTAGCCCTGAGACTATTGATTTTAATTTTCAAGACAAACACTTGTGTTTTTATTAATTATCAACTAACCGCGAGCTACTTTCATTATTAATCTTTCTGGGTCGACTTTTTAGCCAGACTGACATTGCTCATGGGCCGCAGTTTTTCCTTACCTGATGTAGAATGCATGCATACTACGACTTAAAAAGACTGCATCATCTACCCATGAGCTTAATGCACAGTACCATGATATAGACCACTATCGATGGCTGCCACAGTGCAACTCCTGGGTTTTTTTAAACTTTAGGTAACCGTGAGTTGCTTAATTTTAAAGAAACACCCCAGTAACCATCCGTCTCATGCTGGCTATTTCATCGACAGTGCTGGACATTATACTTTACGTATCACCTCGACAAAAGCGACCCATGTGGCGTTTGAAAAGAAAACCCTAATCTTTGAGAAAAAGGATAGTGTTTTGGGGTTTTTTTTAATCGCTTTTGCCATTATCTACGACATTCTTTAAGGTTATAATAGAGCAGTTTGTTACCTGTGTCATCTTCTCATACGCTGAAATGGGGGAAAAGAGAGAGAGAGGGGGGAGAGAGAGACT